GTGACGTCACCATCTTTGCAAAGACTCCTGAAAGTGGCAGACCCAATTTATATAAGTAAATACTGTAATTCAACTAAAAAAAAAAGCACTTCACCATTCACTTTTACTAGCGTCACTATTAGAAATATTGAATTCCCTGTCTACAGAAAAATAGAGTATATAAAAACATTGGCACAGAACACTAGGTTTCTTGGAAATTTTTATATTTTAAGCAAAAACACCAAGGCTAGAAAATATATTTTTTTCCCAGTTAAATTATTTCAGTGTAAAATGTTCAATTACCTTGCCAAATCTCCACAATACCAAATTTAGGCCTCGGTCTAAGGTTTTCAAATGCTCACAATCTGTTAAAATAAACAAATGGTTTATCTACAGAAAAAAATCCCCTAGACTTTAATGGTGATTTCTGTAGATAAATTAATTGAAAACTGTTCTAACAGATTGTGATCATCCAAAAAGCTTATCAAAAAGAAGTAAAAATGAAAGCCTTAGTCCCAAAATGGGATGAATTTTTTTTTTTTCAAGTGCAGTGATTATTATAGTAACTCATTTATAATAACAGCTCAATTATCCAACTGGTGATTTAATCTGCCTACACACAAATGAGACAAGCTCTCCAGGGGAAAAGTAAAAGACACAAATGGCATTTGAATGAGGTGTGCCCTTTATCTACTTAAATCCAGTACCGTAATTATCGTTTTAAAAGCTTTCTGAAAATTCACCAATATATTCTTGCTAATTTCAGCATCAGAGCCAAGCATTTGCTTTAAGGCATGTAGCAAATGGTTTGTTTTGCACTAAAGCAAACTGATGAAATATGGAAAACAAATTATTCAGCCTTAACGTTTCACGGATCACTGCAATGTAACCAGTTTGGATCCTGGAATATTCCTGTGTGTTGTGACCGCAGATGAAAGTACCAAGTTGGCTGCTTAACCTCCCACGCTATCATATAGGAGCTATCATTTAATTTCAAGATTTGTGTGTGTGTGTGTGTGTGTGTGTATTTGCAGGGGAGGGGGTTATCGAAAGGCTCCCTTCTAAAAACTGGTTTAAAAATGTAAAGGGTGAGTTATGACTAATATACTCAGCCTGCAGTTCCACTGGTTTCCATGGTAATTACTCCTCTTTTTTTGACTTTAGGACACTTTTTAGTATAGCATACTTTGATAAATCTACCTTTCATCTCAAAACACTACAGTGCAGATACACAAATTCTTTTTTTTTTTTATTTATTTTTTTTAGTAGAACAAGGAATAGTACGATTTTGAAACACAAAAACACACAAAATATATAATTAAAGTAACATTAAATCCCCCAAGCAACTTCATCTCAATTAAGTGGTCTGGGGCAGCATTCCTGTGCTTTTAATGTAAAACAATGCAGTTTTTATAGAATATGCAATGTTTACCTTGCAGGATTAAGCCTATCTCTAGTGACTGTCATACTGTAAACCACTCCCGCTGCACTAACCAAGTAAAAGTCTGTCTTGTTACACGGAAGCCCCCATAGGAAAGCATCGATTCAATGCTTTATTAAGATAAAGCTTGGATGCAAGCACTGCGCTCACCATGAATGGGCATCAGATCCCCAATGATCCTTTAGGACCATGCATCAGGCCTTTTTCCCCTTAGGGTTTTTCCAAGATGCACTCCACGTTCAGCTTTGATGGAGTTCAACTCCATGGCCCTTTAAACCTTACTGAAATACATTTCAAGTGCTTTTCTTTCAAAGCCACTTTCCTGTACCAAACTAGATCTGTAAATGTATCAATAGGAAGAATTACAGGCTCCTTTGAGCACAGCACACTTTACAAAGAAAATAATGACAATGCGAGCACATCTCACAAATAAACGCATGTCACAAAGTCCTGACTCCTGTCCCCATTTAACCAGGCTGGAAATTTGTACAGTCACTCCCTCTGGTTTTACAAAAAAAAAATTTAAAAAATAAAAAAGGATAATGACGCTTCCAGATTATATGGCGATCAAGGTCAAAACAAAGTCAGAATTCTATCCAGAATGTTGAAAACGTTAACATGACATTTAAAACTTTTTAGGTCAAGGAGCACACTGTAATTCTGAAGTGATAATATCCAGCAAATGTTAAATGTTAAAACAGCATGATCTGAATTGCTCACTTCCAATTTTGCAATAAGCAAATTACTATTATTAGCACTTTTAAAACTTCCTAAATTTAAAAAAAAAAGGGACTAAGTCACAAAGTGGTTACATATGTAAAATGATAAAGTGACAGGAATACAAAGCTGTATTGCTGGCACTATAGCTCCCTCTGCCTCCCCCCTCACTCGCAGTAAATAAAAGGGTTAAAAAACCTTTATTTACTCACCTTACAGAGCCAAAATGCTGTGCTGGCAAATCAGCATTTCGTCATAGAGATGCATTAAATCAATGCATCTCTAAGGAAAGTTTAGCACATCCACGTTAAGCATGGAAGCGCTGAACGTCGGTGCAGGACACCCAGAAAGCACCTCTAGTAGCCGTCTCAGTGACTATAGCTGGAGGTCTTACTAGGCAGCAATGTAAACACAGCCTTTTCTCTGAAAAGGCAGTATTGACATGAAAATGTCTGCAGGGACCGACTATAGTCACCCGAATAACTACATTAAGCTGTAGTTGTTCTGGTGACAATAGTGTTCCTTTAAGGTCAAGAAGCCCTAAAACAGGAAAGTCAATTCAAGGAGAGGAATATCATCATAATAATATAGGACAGTGGTCACCAGCAGGTAGTTTTCCTGTACATGTGGCGCCGGTTCTAGTACCATGACAGTTTTCATAGATCTCTGTTGGCATTACCTGTGCCATGGTACGGTTTTCAAATCCTCATCAGCACTGAAGTGACAACAATTTTGAAATCTTAAGAATGGCAAAACTAAAGGTCATCTTCGTTTTAACTAGTGCTGTCTCAACATTTTGGGACAGTTGGAAAGTATGCAAGAGAATTAGCATTCCTTTAGACAAATTAGTAAAGTTGTTTTTTTGAACTTTATGTGCTTTGCTGCATATTTTGTAAAAACCTGCTTTATCACCTTCTGGAAGAAAGTTGCTATTATAGAAACAGGATTTCTAATATATCCACCAGCCCGTTGTTAATCAACATATGCAATTTTAAATCCATTCACTTTATACCTTAGAATTAGTGATTTCCCGAACGGTTCGCTGAACGGTTCGCCGCGGACAGCAAACATATGCGCTGTTCAGTCCGCCCCCTATGTCATCATTGAGTAAACGTTGACCCTGTACCTCATAGTCAGCAGACACATTCCAGCCAATCAGCAGCAGACCCTCCCTCCCAGACAGCATCCATTTTACATTCATTGTGAAGCTGCATTCTTAGTGAGCTGTCCAGGAGGTGGGAGGGTCTGCTAGGGAGGGTCTGCTGCTGATTGGCTGGAATGTGTCTGCTGACTGTGAGGTACAGGGTCAAAGTTTACTCAATGATGATGAATAGGGGGCGGATCGAACAGCGCATATGTTCGCATCCGCGGCGAACCGTTCGGGACATCACTACTTAGAATGTGACTTGACAAATTTACAGACCTTACAAGCCTTTTTTGTTTATTTTTGAAATTCTTTAATTTGGTTTTTCATTGTCAACAAAGTCAATTACATTTGCATAACAGTGGTTTACATTGGAGACAAGTACAACGAAGTTAACAATAAAAATTTAACAGGAATATGGTGTTAGGGGGTGTAACCACCAGGTAGTATGTAGCTTCGTTGTGACCAAGGTCACTTTTTGGGATGGTGGCCCTAGTCTTTATGGAAGGCATCTACTGGTTGAGATAGGGTGTTGTGTCATGGCACCGGTGGTGCTGGTTGACAGCTGTGTGGGTGTGCCCTGGTGTGTTTAAAGCTTTGTAAGTTTAGGCGGTGTGGTCTGGTGTGGTAGGGTCTGTTAGTGGGATAATATCTTTCCTATTCGGGTGATGGTAGGTATTAGTGGGTCAAAGATGGGCGAGTGTGAAGGTTCGTTGGGGCCAAGCGGTTCCCTAGGGGTAAGCCTCAGATGGTCCCCAATTTCCAGGATGAGGGCTAGGAGGGGGAGAGGGTCTGAGCCTCTGCGAATCCTCACCGCCCCTGACAACAGGGGGGTGGGCGCGAGGTAAATTGGAAGAGGATGAGTGGGAGGTGGGAAAGGGGGAAGGAGAGGCTACCATGGCAACGAGGTGTCTCCGTCAATCCACAGGTCCCATGTTTTGTGAAATTTAGCAAGAGTGTCACGTATCTGTGAGGTTAATCTGTCCATTTGAAGTCCGTCTTGTATTTTTTTATTTTTTTTAAACAGGAAAAAGTGGAACTAGAAGTATTTTTCCTCTTAAATATAACATCAAGAGAGAATATTCTCTCAGAATAAAAAAAAAAAGTCAAAAAGTCACTAAGCAAGCTTCATTAAACTTTTACTATTTTTATCATGTTCTGCAAGAATAACCACAGACAATATGATACTGTAGCAGAACATTAGTCTGCTTTACTGTAACAGCACAACCACTAGTTTACTAGCTCACAATATCATTACACTACTCGAGCTTTCTTTCTGACTTTTTATGACAACAAAATTAAAACCTAGGGTCACATTTTAGAAGATGATCACATCTTTGCTGCGCGTAAATGAAGTTCCAGATTAAAACGGACCTGTTATTTGCAAAAGGTCAGCTCTACATAGACATACAAATTGAGCTTGTATACTGTGCAGGGGAACAGGCCACTAAACATATAGATTAGAACAGACATGACTGAAGCTAGCCTCTGCCTCTTCCAAGCAATTCTTCCTAGTCTTTAAAATAGTTGGTGTGTTGCTAAATTGTAAGTTGTAAGAGTGCTGAATTTTGGGGGCAGTCGGACATATGCTACGTTTGCAGTTTTTACCTCTATGTTATCAGTTATAGTCAAAAAGTAACCTATAAAAAGTGTTAGAATATTGACACTCGTCCAGTGTGGCATCTATCCCTCTGAAGTTCCTTATGCCCCTCTGACTCTCCTTTACATTCTTTAGCTAGAAATGTGTTCTGTGAAAATGCACGTTCTCAAATAAACCTATCACCTCTCCCCTTCCTATACTTCCATATGATTACTATAATAACAAGTCTCTACTCCAAACCCTACCTTAGCTATCACTGCCTATGGCGTACTGCCCTAAACCATCAAACGTCACTCCAATCAAGGTGTTATGGTGCCTGGAGTATTCCTTTAAGAGCTTGCTTTATTATGCCTGCTTTTTACGGTGTACTAAACATTGCCTTTTTAGGATTGCATTGCTCTGTGTTATTGTACTTATGTTTGATTAATTTTGGTTGGCACAGGTCAATTTTCGGTTAAGAGCGTTTTGAATTCCTCTGATGTGAGTATGGTTTTTTTTGTTGGTAATATGTCTTTCAGAAGGTATTGCTCATTGTAAAATCTCTTGTTCTGCTCATCGCATTGTTTTTTGGGGCACTGTAATCATTTGAATTTCTATTATTTTCCCTTTAAGCACTAATTGCAAACAACTGTCCTTTTGTATTATATTCTGTTTGTAGGAATTACTTTGGTTTTCAGTTAAAAAAATAAAATAAATTTTTGCACCCAATATTTTCATCTACACTAGTATGTGTTATTTGTCACACACACAAAAAAATCCTGTGTAAGAGTGTCATCATTTCTTACACCCGGTTATATTTTACAATGGGAGTGTAGGAAGGAGTTTTTAGGGGGAAGCTGATCAGGATGCCATTCTTGTTTAGTTTTGGCCTTTTAATTGAAGACATACTAAAGAACACCTAAAAGAGTTACTCTTTGTGACATACCGCATACGGCAGTTACTACCTGTATCTGCCCTATGCATTTCTTTCTTACTTTACGTGGAATAAAATTGGTCAATGTTTCTACTTTACTGGCGTTCTGCAATATCACTGTTCTCCGTTTTTAATGAGGTTCCTCTTATACCAGTCTGTGATTTAACTTATTGCTATTGCTTGGAATGCTATTTTATGCCATGGTACACTTTCATACATGTTTGTGAGTGCAATATTTATCTTTACCCCTCTCTGGTATTCAAGGGTATTATACTATTTATTTTCTTGTGTCCCCAACAGGATTGGCATTTTTTTTGTATATTTACCCGGTTATAGTGTACAACACTGCAGAATCGACTGGGAATACAGAGAAAATACTTAATAGCGTTAAAAGAAATCAGAATATTATCGTCTGCAATTACAGCAATCTTCTGTATAGATTTTGTACATATCTCTCATGTGTGTCAGTTCTCTTATCGTGTTCAATATAGTAAAATGTTATTACAGACCTCCATCAGCGGAAAACCTTAAAGGAACACTACAAGCAATATACTTCTGATTTCTCGTAACGCTGCCTCTCTTGTCAAGTGTATTCATTCTTTTGGATTCCGCTACCACCGGCATGCCGATGACACGCAGATATATCTCTCCTCCCCTGATGTCGGCTTTGCTGTTCCAGAATGCGTCACTGGTGACCACTCTCCATCTCTGATTGGATGTCCTTCTGCTTTCTAAAACTAAAAATCTTATCTTCCCTCTTCATAATAATAATCCTCCTCTGTCGCTCTCTCTGCAAGTTGGTGGTACAGGCATCAGCCCGTCCTTGCAAGCTCGCTGTCTTGTTGTTATCTTTCATTCTGGCCTCACCTTTACGCCTCACGCCCAAATCGGTTGCTAAATCATGCCAATTCCACCTAAAAGAACATTGCCTTCATCCGCCCCTTTTTTATGCAAGATTCAACTTCAACAACCTTGTTCATACTCTTGTAATTTCTTGCATTAATTACTGGAATTCTCTCCTAACTGTTCTTCCCAGAAACCATGTGGCCTCTCTACAGTCCACAATTAATGCTCCTGACAGACTGATTTTTCTCTCCTGTTGCTCCTCTCACAACTTGCCCATCCGTCAATCTTTACACTGATTCCCTGTACCCTATAGGATTCAATACAAAATACTAACCGTTTCCTATAAAGCTCTAAACAACTTTACACCTCACAGCGTAGTGCTTATGGTGCAAGAAGACAAAAGGTTGAGTCATTTTGTTTTCAAGAGGTTTGACGAGATAAATGGCTGGTTTTCTGTAATCCTAAATCCATCCCCTCAATTGGAGACATCAGAATGTTCACAGTGTCCATTCAGTAGTGCAGAAGAGTTCGACATGACAAATTTTTATACTATAACGCCCACAACAACCGTGGCAGTGTGTCTGCACTGAGTGAATAATAGTAGAAAGTAGGGCCAGGCACTTAAGGTTTCTTCAAAAAGGCAGATTTATTGAGAACTGAATTCGCAACGTTTCAGCCTTCACAGAGGCTTGTGCTGAGTGAAGTCACTTTACAAATATTTAAATATTTGTATTGGATCCGCTTAAAAAAAATAAAAAAAATAATAATTATAAAGTTTTCAGTTTAGTTAAAAGACTGTCATCCTGATGTATATCTATTTTTATTTTATTTTGTAATAGTTAAATAAATGTGAAGTTTTATTTACAGTACCTAAGAAGCTCTTATGATGCTATAATTTGAGCTGTACTATATTGAACGGAACAGTACTGGGGAAGAAAATGTTTTGTCTACCCTGGAATGCAGGTTATTGTAAAATTTTTTATTTATATTTTATATTCCCCCCCCGCCCCCCCCAGATTAGCCATTTTGGGTTGTTATTTTTTTTAAGTTCAAGTTATTCTATAGTGAATAGACCTGCAAATATATTTTCCAGTCTATACATTTTTAGTGACTTTCCTTTCATAGCAGAGATTAAAATGTACCCATAGAGGATTTGTCATCAACATATATGTGGATGACAGATTCACTGTAAGAAAAAGAACATTTAAGACATAACAGGACCAAATACAACAATATTTTTTAAAATATCTGTCTATCATTGCTTTACGGAATTATCAGCGAGAACCTGAATGATTACTAAGTGTACCTATACATTAGCGTATTATTCACATTTGGAAAAATTGTCTTAATTGTAGCATACATTTAAAACAGGATATACAAACTGCAGCCGACAATGCACTACAGTAGCCATCAACGTCTTGTAATCCAATGTTCTATTTGTGTCTGTGTTTGAGTACTGCTGACATGGGACATAAAAGGTAAATACCTGTAATACCCATGGATATACTTTATGTGATGCGTAAGCGTTTGCATGGATTTGTCGAGTTAGGAGGCGCACTGAACTGTGTGTGCCTGAGCGACATTTAAAACTTCACTGATGGCTCTTTCTTTGCTGCAGGCAAACAGATCACTTTGTGCACGGACAAAAATGATTTACATTTGACAAGTTGTCAGATAGACACTTCTCAACAAAAGGTGTGCAAATGGAAAGCTCTCAAATCTTCATGGGTAACAAGACCATTGTGTTACCTGATCGACCGACTCAGGAGTTCAAATGGAATATGTGATAAAAATGGTGCTTCATAGTTTATATGCACTGGGACATTACATACCCGAGGCTTATAGTTTAGTGAAAGATTATTATTTTTTTGAAATTCTTTATTTTGTTGTGCATGGGATAACAGGGTGCCGCCCGTATGGCCACAATAGCCACACAGGAGTAGCGATTGACACAAAGATACACATAGCTATACGGTGCGTGTGAATAATAAAACAACATTATGTAGTATCCGTCTACTTTGCACGTTTTTTTTAAATGGTAATATCGTCAGGCTAGGTGAACATGTGTAATACCCAACCAAGAGCATGGCGTTTCATGCAGGCTAGTCTGTCTTTGTTTGCAGGTTGTGAATCACCTTACTGGCTTAGTGTGAAAGATTATTATTAAATGATTAGAAATCCGAAAGTAAAAAAATGTGCCTTCTTAAAACACTACTCAACAACACATAAACAGCTCAAGCTCAGTTCTCAAGTGTCCTACTTGACCACTATCATGCGTTTGTTTTTTCCTTTTTCTTTCTAATGATCCACCTCTCTATGACACTGGAGGGAAAAAATTGGGCTTGGTTTGGCAATTTTGGCCTCTCGTAGCAGCAATAACAAAAATGCTGAGTAGGCACAATTTGTTAGAAACATCACATAAGCTGAAATGATACACGTCCATCAAGTTCAGCTTCTCTCACATCTGTTTTTGCTGTTAATCAAAAAGAAGGCAGAAGGTATATACATTGCAAATACCATAACCACTGCAGCTTGCCCACTCACATATGTACGTACATCAGTACATAAAACATATGAACAAATTAGGAGTTTAAGCAAAGACTAGTTATCCCTGCTTATGAAGGGTATATATAAACACACATTCAATAGCTATGGACATCGTAAAACTACTGTTAAAGTGGCTTTGTCACTTTGCATGTTTTCTTTTTTTGTCCCTCTATTTTTGTATTTTATTTTTTATTTCACCTTGGTTTTTTAGTTATACATAAGAATAAGAAGGGAATCCTTTTTTTTTTTTAGGGTAGTATGATCTATGACATAGTTTGACAATGGGTGGAGCCTAATCAAAGTTCCATACCAGCTGCTAAGCTAATTTACCCACAACCCATCAGTTATAGAATCCCGTAGAACAATACACTGCAGACATCACGGACAGCGGAAAACAAAACGGAGGCACCCAGGTATGGAAACTGGTCACAAGGAAGAAAGCATAACTTTATATAAAAGGCGAGTGGCAGTAGGGGGAGCAGAAGCATTAAGAAACAAGGGGCCAAAGGAAAGGAAAACGAAAGGGGGAAAAAAATGCACTACTGTGCCACCTTAAAGCACCACAAAGTCACACATCGCAGTTTTAAAAAAAAGGTTACATGATGTCCTTTTATTGTTAGATGATCCTTCTGCAAAAATCACCTTTCTATAGGGACCATAGCACTGAAGAGGTTTAGGTCTAAGCTTGTGTTTCAGGGGTCTTTTTAATGCATATGCCATTCCTTGTGTCAGCACCATGGACAGTAATTGAAGTAAACTCAAGTTTATTTGTATAAGGGGGAAAAAACACTAAAACTTTTACCAAACAGGACTTTTTTGCGGCTTTATTTTAGATTTTTTTTTTTAAACATTCAAAGACACAACAGGGTTGAAACTTTACCTTTTACATATGATGTTATTATTCCTTATTGGATTGACTGTACTCTGTGAACCAACACCCCACGGACAGTGTAGAAAGAAAAAAAAAAGATAGTAAACCTTCAGTGATAGACCCACAAAATTTCAGGAATATTGAGTAAAACTCTAAATTGTAGTGGATTAAATCACCGCTCTTCTTTCTAGGCTAGGAGGGCTCTGAGGCCCATCACGTCTCTACTGCAGGACAGATATATCCAATATAAGTGTGGGTACCCTTTAGGGAAAGGATAGTACCAACCAGAGGATACTGTTTTTACTCCATTATTTAAAATGTTACAATAGTTCTTGCCTTACTTTTTAATGTAAGAGTTATGAAGCAGGACTAGGGCCTTTGTGAGCACTATCGGCCCCTTTGGTCAACATTCTCAAATAGCAGAATGTTCCCCATATGCATGCACTTGTATTGTTCTTTATTGCTCAGTTTAAGAAGCAATCTGTTTCCCAGTGACAGTTCTACATTGTATTGTTATGATGCAACTGACTTTCCTATGCTTATTTTCACCTTACTATCTGTACAAAATGTCTTTTGTTTGTGTTGTATGCGATGATACTACTAATATGCATTCCTTTACCTGTAATCTTTGGATCTCAGTCTCTAATGTCCGCTACATTCACACCTGTGTGCTCACTGTATATCAAGGGAAACCACCCTCATTGTCAATGCGGGATTCCACCACATCATCATTTTAGAAGGGCACGAATTCATACAAAACAACTGCATTCCATTATACCTCTAGCTTACAGTCAATCCACATTCTAAAAGGAATACGCCACACATCTAAAAGTCGTCACCTAGCTGAAGTGCTTTGGGGTTAATTTTCTGTCCATGCAGATTTATTTCATAAAAATAAAAATATATATAATGATTTCAAGTGAATTTGACACTTTTATAAATCACACCTCTTAGCTGCCAATGAGACAACCAGGAGGGTCTCTAGCCTCATAAACGGAAATGGATGCTTCTAATAGACAAGCACTGGATTTAATTCTTCCCTTGTACTGGTGGATTGTAGTAATTAGCATGCATGCGCCATTTGTCCTGTGTGACACAACTTGTCCATAACGATGAGTTACATGGTTTCTTTTCTTTTTTAAATTATATCAAAGGAAAAAGCTAAATATAACGTAAGAATTTTTTTTAATCCAATGCACTTGACAAAATCCATTATATTATGTACACTGGGGTGTTCTTTTAAAAAATATATATTTTATTCATATACTTGCTAGCAATTTGACTAATTCTATGAATAGCATACATTATATTTTATGCTGCGTAAAGTGTTGCCAAGTCCTATTTGCATGGCCTGCACATCTCAGGTGGCATGTAATATGTGTAGATGATAAAGATACTGTATATCTGTGTGATAAGACTTGTTAGCATCTGTAACATGTAAAAATGGGTGTGTGCACCAATGAATTGACATCTTGTCTAAAATTTAAACATTACTCATCATTAAACATTTGTAGTTATCAAATAAGCTCAAACTGGATTACTTCTTCAAATGACCAGCTAAATTCCAATAAAATAAATTTTTGCTTAGTGTTCACCAGTCGGGTATAAAGAAACAGAAAAATGTAATGCTGTTTAAGCAATCAAACAGATGAAAACATGCAGGTAGGGATCTAAATGAGGAAAAGAGAAGCCAAAATCAGGCCTATGGGTAA